CCGCGTTGAACTCCCACAGCGACGCCGCGCGTGTGATGTCCGTGAACACAATCGTCACCTCGCCCTCCGGTGGTCTGACCCCTCCGACGCCGGCGACGGCCGCCACGGCCGCCTGCGAGGCCGACGAGTTGGACGACGATGAGGTGCCGGTGGAGCCCGCCGATGATGGCAGCGTCCACGAGCCGTACATGCTCGACGGACCAGCCTTCTTGCCGCCGGTGCCATCGCTGGCCTTTCCGCCAGAGTGGCCCGACGACGAGGAGGTGTGACTCGTCGAAGTGGCGCCGATCGAAGTGTTGGAGTCGCCGTGCATGGCCGACAGCCGCGTCATGATCTCGAGGAACGTCGGGCGGATGGTGGGGTCCGAGTGCCAGCAGCTGGTGATCAGCTCCTCGAACTCGGCCGGGTGGGTAAGGCCGGCGTCGACGGGCATGGCCGGCCGGATGCCGTCGCGGATCACCGCCACGGCCACGGCCGCCGGGCTCATGCCGAAGTAGGGCTGCTCGCGCGTCAGCAGCTCCCACAAGATGCTCCCGAAGCTGTACACGTCGGCCAAGATCAAGTCCACGTCGAGCGTCTCGTTGAGCACCTCGGGCGCCGTCCAGTGCACGCTCCCGGCCACCTCCTTGCCCAGGCCCTTGGCGCCCACGTCCTCCTTGAACTTGGTGAGGCCAAAGTCGCTCACCTTCACGTTCCACTTGGCATCGAGCAGCAGGTTGAGCGACTTCAAGTCCCTGTGCACGATTCCTGCACAATGTATCATCACGAGTGAGAAAGAGAGAACTAAATCGTGCGAAAAAAGAACGAAGCGAAGAGGCGAGAAGGTGGCAAGATCAGTACCGGAGGAGTGGAGGAAGTGCATGCCCTTGGAGGCCTGATAGGCCATCTTGGCCTTGAGCACGAACGGCAGCTCCGGGATCAGCTCGTTGTGCAGCAACTGTCCGCCAGGCAAGTAGTGGTGAGCAACAGAGCAAGGTAGAGCACTCCAGAGCAAGAAATAGGGGGCGTACGTCGAAGAGGGAGCCGAGGGCCATGTACTCCATGACGATGCACATCTTGGGCGCTTTGGTCGACGCCGCCATGAAGAGCACCACGTTGGGATGCCGCAGCGCCGTCATCACTCGCACCTGTCCCATTGTAATTTCAGCACAAGGTACCTTGGTACCCAATCTCCAAGTAAGCGGGGGAGGGGGCACGCACCTCGTCCTTGAAGCTCTTCTCCATGTCCTTGGTGATCTTGTCCGACGCCATGACCTTCACCGCCACCTCGGTTCCCTTCCACGTCGCCTTGTTCACTTCACCATATCTGGTGCAGGTTTGGGTCAGATGGAGTTGAAGACTGGCAGAACGTATCGTATGGCGACGATCAGTGGCGACGTACCCGCCGGCGCCGAGCTGTTCGCCGATCTCGAGCTCGTCGTATTCGATCTCCCAGTCGTCCGACTTGTCGCCCTTGCGCTTGATGATCACCACCAGCACCACGATCAGACACACCAGCAGGCACAGCACCAGGGCCGCCGATGGGATCACCACGCCTGCGCGCACATCCACCATTCGTCACAAGTGAACGCATGGCTGTGTTGGAATGAAGAGAGTTGGGGGCTTACCGAGGGCAATGACGAGCGTGTTGTCGGAGGACCCGGAGATGGTGCCCTCGCAGTACTGGCCCTCCCGGCCGGTATTGCACAGACACTTGTTGTTGGTGCAGACGCCCGCGCCCGAGCACAGCTGGCCGTCGTTGATGCAGTTGGCCACATGGCTCACGGTGTCACCGTCGCATGTGAAGGCCTTGAGTTGGTTGAGGAACCGGCCGCGTAGCTGCGCCTCATTCGTCACAAGCACGAAGCCTTGCCTATCGGCCACCTGACCAGCGGTAGTCGAGGTCTGGGCCCAGTACAGGAAGTTGGCCAGCGCTGCGGCCTCGGTGCAGTCCTCCATGGTGCTTTGGTGATAGATGATCGAGGCAAACGAAGCAATGGGCCAACTGTCCGCGCCCGATGCTGTGCAGTTGTGCGCCGCAGTGAGTAAGTGCGTGTGAGTTGAGAACAGGTCAACGTAGGCGAAGGAGGGCGTACACAGCAGCAGGCTTTCGAACGAGGTCTGTCCGCTCGCTTCGTAGTCGCTCAGGGCGCTGATCAGCGATTCCGAGGTGGGGCTCACCACTCTGCCGGCCGAGTTTTTCATCGCCGCTGCGCCGATCTTTCGGGCCTGCACACAACATTGATTGAATTGTGAGCCCAAACGCCACCATGCAAGAGGAGGAGGTGGAAGTGGTAGTGGTAGTTGTAGTGGTAGTACCTGGCGCACGTCGTAGTTCGCCCAGAATGCGAAGGAGTAGTCATTGTCGCGGAGGTAGGTCATCGTATTGACGTTGTCCAACACAATCGACCGGTTGTTGCCCGCGCTTTGCACGGGGAAGGTCACCAGCTCCCCCGATCCGACCTGGGCGGCGAAATCGGGCACCGTGGCGCTGAGCGCCGTCGTGAAGACGCTGGTGGTGCCGGCGGCGATCGACTGCGTGATGACGACCACGATGGGCTGCGACGGCAGGGCGGCGACCACCTCGGGCGAGTTGAGGGCCTGGATGCGCGGGTCGTCCCACATGGTAATCTCGTTTAGATAGATGCGCGCCACGGTGTCAAAGTCCAGCACCAGCTCGAGACCCTCGAGCTCTGGGATGTTGTAGGCCGGAACCAGGGCGTAGGCGGTGAGGGGCATGAGCGCGGCGTCGCTCATCTCGGCGTACCAATCAGCCGAGAGGCCGTCGCTCACCACGCCGAACAGGACGTCGCTCGAACTGAGCTGTTGCTTCGCGTTGCTCGACGTGCCCTCGAAGTACTTCATCTTGCTGAGCTGGGACGACCAGGACACGGCCCACGAGGTCATGAGCGGCAGCGGCGTTCCCGTGCCAACCAGGTAGGTGGTCTCGTAGGCGGTCTTGCCGTTGCACTCCACCGTGTTCAACAGGCTGATGAGTCGTTCGCGCAGGCTCACATCGATCGGGGCCACGTTGATATTCCTTGCTTCTTGGCTCGCCCTGTCAGTGATGACAATGACGATAGTTAGCAATAGGTCCATGGGCGGAGGGAAGCGCAATAACACGTACGCGTCATTGGTTTGGACCCAGGCGACAAACGAGAGCAGCTCGAAGATGTTGGTGCAGTCGAAGTGGTGAGGTTCTGCTGCATGGACAGGTAGTTCATGTAGGCGATGGGCCACGATGCGTTGCCGTCTGCGTCGATGATGTCGATGGTGAAGTTGCTCTGGTCGAATTGCTCGCTGAAGTTGTCCATGGCCGCTTGCACCGACGCGACGGAGGGTCGGACGAACTTGCCGGCCTTGTTGATCATGTCATCCACTTGAACGCGACGACACCGTGTCGGCGTAGTTGAGGAATGTCATGCTGTTGTCGTTGGCCTGCAACATTCGTGCACGAATTGTAAGCAACACCAAACTTTGATTGGGCGCTACGTCAGACTTACCGCAAGCCAGTTCAACCGGGCCAGGGTCGAGCTGCCGGCTGGGACAGCGGTGCCGCGTTGCGCTGGCGGCATGTCGGCCCAAGTGCGGTTGGCCGCCTCGAGGGCATTCCTGAAGTCCACGCTGAAGCTCTCCAGCGCCAGCTTAAGCACCTCGATGACCGAGATAACGCCGTTTTCGTTGTAGCCGATCAGGATCGACGCGTTGGGCAGCTTGCTGGCGATGGCCGGGTTGAGGTCCTTCAGGCGCTGGTCGTTCCAGTGGGTGATATTACCCGCCCAGATGAGGCCCAGCGTTTCCCTATCTACCACCTGTGTTCGGAGTTAAAACAACATCACTTTTAACTCCGAGCTGGGCCAGTCACCCAAGGTAACGTACGATGTTGGGATCGGTGGGGCTGAGGGCGGTGAGGTTGTAGGCCATCACCATGGCTTGTCCGGCCAGCGGCATTTGAGCGAGACCGCCGTACTGGGCCGAGACCTCAGCCGAGAGGCCTCTGTCCATGACCAGGAAGTCCTGTAACGGTGGGCCGCTCAATTGGTCAGTGGCCGAATACTATCAGTCGAGAGTTGAGGCAACGCACCGCGTCGCCTCGAGCGTAGGTGTCTAAGGCCGGAGTGATGCCAGAACCCTCGTACAACACACTGCACGTCAACCACACCAAACACCGTTGATTGGGTGAACCTTATAAATGTCATTTACCCTTTTAAGCCTAATTGTTTCCAGGCCCGAGAACGCCGCGGCAATTTGCACTGGGGTGGCCAACGCAACGTGCAGTACTGTACCCGACGTCGTCACGGATGAAGAGGTAGGCCGGGCTCCACTTGTCGAAGAGGGAGACTACGTTGGGCGCGCCCACTCCGTAGAGTTGGACGCCGTAGGCCTGCGCTGCTAGCGCGACACCGCGATACGACCACAGGCGGTGAGAAAGGAATCGTGGCTGACCGCACGTTCTTGCCCGGGCGGGTCAGCGTACTATGGTACACGATCACCAGGAGAAGCAATCCCAAGCAGAGTTGTGAAGCTATGCTGCCGGCCATGGTTGTCGTACTGCCGGAGAGGGGGAGGGTGCTGGACGGGTTGTGTGGTGGAAAGGAGAGACAAAGGAAAACGCACACTGCAGACAGTGACCACCTCACGTTTATAGGTGCCTCGGTTGCCTCGGCAGCGCCCTGTCCGCCAATGAACACAGCTCCGCCTAGCTGATTAAAAGTTGACAGGCGCACAGTTACCTTTGGTAAACCAACGAGGCACCTAGTACTTTTTTTTACCCGTAGGACATCCCGTTGCAACCTGTGAACGAGACTGGCGAAGACCACCACCGAGCTAACTCAGTGTTATGCGTGAAGAGAAAAGAACTCGTGTATTGAACAAAAGGCGAATAAATATCTGTACAGCCACTTGTCAGAGGCACCCGACACAGGAGACGAGCCTACGTACGATCAGGGTCTAGCGGCAGAGTAGGAAAATGTGGGCAAGATGGTTGGGCGCGGTGCTGGTCGTGCGGTTGTGCAGCGCGATCACTTGTCGATCCGGATGGACTGGGTCACCACTTGCACGCACAGTGGGCAGGTGTCATGGTCCGACAGCCACCTGTAACGTTCATCATCGCGAAGCGAAAGCAGCTTCAGTCCACTGCCGAGCAAAACCATCAAGCAAGGGCCAATCGCAACACGAAGCGGAGCACACCTGTCAATACACGGCTGGTGGAAGTGATGATTGCAGGGCAGGGTTCGGTAATGTTCGCCTGGCTCGTAATCCAGCAAACAAATGCTGCACCTGTTGTTCCATGAGACAGGTGGCGGCGCACGTTAGAGGAGTGGCCACAACTGATGAGTTGCTTGATGATGAGGAGGATACGTACTGAGCGTTCTCGGCCGGCATGCAGCCTGGGTGGTAGGATTGTGTTGGGAACGTCTGCAGCGTTTTAGCCGTGACACCCTGGCTCCTTGAGTAGCTGCCTCGCGCTTGGAATGTCTGATAGCACGAGTGTGCAATGATTAGGAAAGACACGACGCGAACTGCGCGAAGAACCGGGGGGGGGCTGCGGCGCGAGGCGCGTACTCGGTATGCAGAGTTGGTGGAGGGGTTGTTGCCCAGGAGGCCAGGGTTCGCGGCTGCAGCGAGCATTGCTCGTCGTCGATTAATGCGAGATATGCATACGCAAGTGCAGCAGCAAACAACGAAGGTCATGACGAAGCTTCCGATCATCAGTGGCAACATCGCTGCATGGGTCCGCAAGGAGACAACGACGAAGAGGAGAGAGAAGTAAGCAAACCATCACCGATTCAGTCTAAGCGAGTGAGTCTCGGAGTGTCCACGTACACCAGTCGCCTTCGCGGTTGATGGGCAGCACCGAGCAGTCCCCAGACGCAGTACAGTACTGCGATGACGAGCAGCATGATGACACTCCTGACCACGTTCTGTTCCGTACCCCACCCTTCAGTACCCCGGCTTATTTGTGTATTTTTATTTATTTTATTATTTAATATTAAAAAAATGCAAAAGGCTGCGGGGAGGTACCGAGATCGGCAGCACACGCCATCTGAGGGGCAGCACAGAGAACCGCAGCATGTCGTGGAGTCGGAGCAGCAGAACGGTCTGTCGCGCCAGTAGCAGCACGACTCGCCCGACGAGCAGTTGCACACCTGATTTGCTACTAATTGGTCGGCTCTTGGGGCGGGGGCGAGATGTGAAGGCGAGTCAAGAGGCGAGGGGGCTGGAGAAGGGGCTGTGTAGCGAAGGAATATGAAGTCGTAGAAAGAAGAGGAAGATGATCGAGAAGGGGCGCCCTCTGCGATGCATGAGAATAATACGAGCGCCAAGTAGAGGGATAGATACGTCGAGGAAGAGAAGAGAAGAGGGGAGGAGGGCGAAGAGGATTCTCGTTTCATCTTTTCACGTGCTTTTGGTTGGCACAGTTGGCGGAGATGCTCGCAATCGTTGTTGAAGAAACGGCAGAGGAGGTTTTACGTAGTTCCCCGCCTTGGTGGTCGTGAACGAGGGTCGCGTCAATCTAATCCTACGCGCCCGCGGCGGAGCAGGCAGCAGGGAACTCCTCTCGCTCGAGCAGACGATAAATCTGGCACGCAAGCTCCTCACGAACAGGTCCAGAATTCAAACAGAATGTTGAATCTCGCCACAACTTGCGTCGGCTGGACTGCGCAAGCAGCACTTGGAAATTTCCACCCCTCTTTGCTGCGCGGCCAACGACACGCAGAGAAAAACCCACAGAAAAGGGTGTCGTCTTGCAGCTGCCTCGCACGAGCATGCTCGCGGTTCCACACCACCTTGACGCCCATCAAGCAACGGACAGATGCGCCTTGTCCAGTTGTGGCGGCTCAGGCTGAGCCGCTTCTCGCAGACCAGCAAGCGACCACCCTGGGTGGCCTGAAGAGGACTTTAAGGTGTCGACAGTTTGTTGTCCTGAACGTCTGACGCGGCGGAAAGTTGGCAGAAGCAGAAGGCCTGTGGTTGCGCACAACAGCAAAGCCGAAATCAGCCAACTTGACGTCACACCTTGCATCATCGTTGAGGAAAGAGGAGAGATTATCGGCACGGAGGAATTCAGCGTTTGATTGTGCGAGAGAGAAGATGGGAGACTGCGGCAGGCGAAAGGTAAAGGTTTCTCATCAATTCTTCTGCCCCATTACGCAAGAGATCATGCGCGACCCGGTCATCGCCGAAGATGGACACACATACGAGAAGGCCGTGATCGAAAAGTGGCTCGAGAAGAGTCCCACAAGCCCCATGACGCGTCAGCAGCTCTCCTCGGCAATGCTCATCCCCAACTTCGCCCTCAAGCAGCTCATCGACCAGTGGAAGGACGAGCAGCGTCGGAAGAGCAAGGGCAAGGCCAAGGTGGCCAACGACGAGGCCCAGCCGCCACCACTCCTCCCCTCCACCAAGGCTGGGTACGCACAAGCCTTTTATTTATTTTTTAATTTATTATTTGGTTTATTTATTGCCAGGTCCCAGCAGCCCATTCAATGACATTGTACCGCGCAGGGTGAACGTTGCCGATGGCGACGAGGAAGACGAGAACGAGAATTGGCGGTTTGTCGATGAGGAGGAGCTGCAGGCCGCGCTCGAGCGAAGCGTCGCCAAGCCGGAGCTCACCGTCGCCCGGGCACAGCAACAGGCCACCAAGGCCAAGGAGCAGGCCAGCGCCGGCTCGAGCTCCTCCGCCGCGGCTGGCGACGACGGCGCGGATCCCTCGGAGGATGCCTGGGGCACCGGCGGGTGGCTCGCCTTTGCTGGCGCCGTGGCGGTGGTGGCCGGTGGCGTCGCCTGGGCGTCATCGAGTTCGTCCTCTTCGTCATCAGGATCGAGCGACGTCAAGCGAAAGGAGCACGCAGACGAGGAGAACACTTGCATCGTGTCCTGATGCTGATCGATCACCACCAACGTCAACATCAACATCAACTCGTTGAGGAGGACGTCGAACCCTCCCCCATCGTCCTCGTCGTGTACATTCCACACCCGGCTGACCCTTGTAGATAACATTCACAAACCAAACGAGTGAGTTCAATATAGGTGGGTTGTATGTACAACGTGGACTTGCATATGTGTGTAAAAATGTGTGAACATGTTGTGGTGCTGGTGCTCAGAGAATGGTGGTCGTCTGGTCTGTTCGCGAGCGGCGCAGCGGGAGCTCGGCGTGGGACTCGAGGGACATGCGCCTCTTGATCGGCTGCCGGTCGACCAGGCCCTGGATCTCCAGCGCCAGCACCACGTCCTCCTCCTCTCCGTCCTCATCGCTCTCGCTGAGGACCATCCACTCCATCCCTCGCGGGCGGTACACTTCATTGTTGATCGTCGTCAGATAGTGCCTGTACACCACATTGAATGACAACGCAGTACCAGGTTGATGTGTGAACGATGGTGATGATGACGCAGCGATTGGAGAAGTAGAACGTAGTACCTCACGTCATCGAGCGCCTCGCGATTGTCTCTGCGCATGATGACGAAGCAGCAGCAGAAGCAGAGGAGGAGACACCCGCGGTTGATCAGACCGCTGCCCGCGGACCGCCATATTCGGTTGACGGTGGTCACCACGCTCTCGAACTCTTGCACGCTCACGTAGCCCTTCAGCTGCGACCTGTAGTCCTCCTCGAACTGTGGTGTGCTCCACACACCCGCCGACCTCACCTCCCAATAAAGTCTCATAGTTCTGAACCTTGAGATAGGGTGGGGGGGATGAGGCTGGACTTGAAACTTCAACAAGATGAAGACAAGGTGGGAACAACAAGGAGGAGGGAGTACCAGTTGTGGTTGACGCTGTGCGTGCTGTTTGTTTGTTGAAACTTTTATCAATCCTGGTGCCAGCCAGGAAACCCTGCGAGCGAGTGCGTGATGCTGACGGTGAAGTGGGAGCCAGGGTCGTGCAGAACCAAGAACGTGGTGGAGGGGGTTGCAGAATTTCGGTCGCTTCTGAGCGCAACTGCACCAGCCCAAGTTCGACATTCCGCGGAAAAGTTTGTCCACGACCGCGGAAGGAAATCTCGTGTATCTTCTGGGGCGTTGCAGTGGGACCACAGATCGGGTAGTGCAACCGAACATGGTCATGAAGAGCCGCCTCGTCCAACCTTATTTCTAAGCTGGGATTGGTGGGCCAAACCAAGGTGATGCGATTGGTCCAGGCAATAACAGAGTTTAATTTTAGTGGTGGCTTCTTCGTTCACCTTTTGCTTGGTGGGTAGTTTCGACCCTTGGCCTCCCTCGTCTTTGCCCTCAAACACCAACAACAAGCTTCAACCCACATGTCCCCTGCTCGCCTTCTCTGCGTGCTGCTCCTCGCCGGTGCATTGGGCTGCGCTCTCGCGACCAACATTCACGTGGTCAACAAGTGCGGTTTCGACACCGATGTCATCTACACCGCCAACATCAACGAACACCCCCTGCCCTCCCGCAACCTCGGCACCCTCCGCCCTGGGTACCCCCAATGTTGTTCCCTTTTTGCCTCACTTGGCTTTTTATTTACATTTTAAAAAAGACAATAATACAATAGAAAAGAAGAACCAAACTGACTCAAGCCTGCCTTGACCATTGCTCTAGCGGCTCGCTGCAGTTCCGGCCGACCGACACGTACTTCAACTTGAAGAACGGGTACGGCGGCAAGACCTGGGCCGAATTCTCCATCAACCCCAAGACCTGGCCCGGTCACGACTCCTACGACCTCAGCGTCATCCCCGGCTACGACATCGCCATGCAGATCCTCGCTCCCTTCGGCGGGTACTTCTTTTCATGTTCTCTTGTTCTTGTTCTTGTTCTTGTTATCTCGTACGTGTGCCAGGCTTACACTCTGCGTCATGACGTCAGATTCTCTCCCATCTGCACCTACCCTGGTTGCCCGGACGCCTTCCACTATTGGAACGACTACTCCAAGGTGCACGTCGTCAACTCGGGCGGCACCTTCACCGTCGTGTTCTGCGCCTGATGCGCTCTCTTGCACTGCCACACATAAACGAATCGTGGTTATCAGTTAACTCCGCGTGTAACGAGCCGCTACATAAAACGAGAAAGATCTCGAGAGGCTGCATTGATTCATTTCAATTGAGTGCATACAGACAAGGAGAGAATGTGGGAAGTGAGTGTGCCGTCGTGGGATGAACCCAGCAGCAGCGGTGGAGCTGATTCGGCCAAGGCCGGCGGTAAGAAGGGGCGAAGGAAGAGCGGAGGAGGTGCCGAATCTGCGGGTGCTACATCAGCATCGGGAGATGTGTTCAAGGTGGTGACGGCCTCGCTCCAGGGCGAGGCGGTTGCCGAGGTCAAGCGCGCCATTGACGAAGCCTCATCGAGGAGGAAGCGGCGTAGAAGCAGCCAGATGGAGGTCGAGGCCGCCAGCCCCGCCCCTGTCACCCCCCAAGGTGCTCATTCCCCATCTCGATTTACTTTTACGTTCGCGATTAAATCGCAAGTACGAGATTAAATCTTAACGCTACTCGAAATTTAATCATCAAGAATTGAGGAACGAGATTTACTGGGTGAAGTAGCATAACGATGTGCTCTTGTTGGGGTCGTTGCAGGCGACAAGAAGAAGAGCAGCGATCGGCAGACACCAGTGAAAAAGGACCAGCACACCCCGGCAAAGAGTCCCCGCAAGCAGCCTGCAGCCAAGAAGGGTAAGCGTGAACGCTTGTGCACTGTTGAGTACTCATCAGGTTGGTTGCTTCTGCTAATACACACGCTCCCCTCCACCCTTCTGCCCCCACGCACAACAGCCGAGAGCCCTGCGCCGGCGAACGGCAAGGCGAAGGCCAGCCCGCGCAAGGCCACCGAGGCTGCGGCCACGGCCTCGGCTGCGAGCAATGGGTCTGACGCCGCGACGACGACGCCCAAGAAGCGCAAGCGCGGCTCCCGCGGAGGTGCCAAGAAGCCCAAGGCCGCGACCGCCGGCGGCGAGGCTGGCGAGGCGGGCAGCACGGGAGAAGGTGGTGGTGGCGACGCCGCGGCCGCGGCCTCTACCGCCACGACGCCGACCAAGCGCCCGAGAGGGCTGCGCGGCGGTGCGGCCAACAGGGCCAAGCGGGCCAAGGCGCAGGCCAAGGCCGCGGGACAGGTCGAGGCGAAGACCAGCAACACTGAAGCCGCCGGCGAAAGCGACGCGTCGGCCAAGCCGCCCAAGAAGAAGGCGAAGAAGAACGAGAAGAAGCAGAAGCAGAAGCAGGAGGGGAAGCCGCAGCCGAAGGCCGCCACGCCGACCAAGGAGAAGGCCGCCACGCCGGCGCCCAAGTCGCCCAACAAGAAGAACGCCAAGGCCGCCACGCCGAAGGCCGCCACGCCGACCAAGGCGGCCGCTGCACCGGCCGAGTCGCCCAACACCACCAAGAAGGGCAAGGCCGCCACGCCAGCCAAGTCGCCCAACAACAACAACAACAAGAATGCCAAGAACGCCACGCCGACCAAGGCTGCGGCCAATGACAAGAAGAACGCCAAGGCCGCCGCGCCGGCCAAGGCTAAGGCCACGCAGCAGCAGCAGCCGGCCAAGTCGCCCAACAACAAGAACAAGAAGAACGCCAAGGCCGCCACCCCGACCAATGACAAGAACGCCAAGGCCGCCACCCCGACCAAGGCGCCGCAGCCGCAGCAGCCGCAGAGCCAACCCGCCAAGGAGGCGCAGAACCCCACGACACCGACTAAGTCACCCAACGCGGAGAACAACAAGAAGAAGAACAACAGGAAGAAGGGCAAGGGCCAGCAGAGCGAGAAGGCCGCCGCCGACGCCGACGCCACCGTCACCACGCCGCAGAAGCCGGCCGTCGCGGCAGCGGCCGCCGCCGCTTCAGGTCTGGACCAGCTCCTGATGGAGCACCTGGGCAAGATGGCACCCGCCACGCCCACGACCGCCACCGCCGCCGAGCCCAAGGGCAAGAAGGCCGCCAAGGCGGGCGCGAACGAGCTTCTGCGGAAGATGCTGGCCGAGGCCGAGCAGAGGGACAAGCAGCTGCTCGAGGGCGGCGCGCCCCATAAGGCGGAGAAGGGCACCAAGCGCAAGGCCGGCCCGAAGAAGGAGGCGGCGGCCTCGCCCCACGGCAACAACAAGAAAGCGAAGAAGAACGAAGAAGACACGACAAGCATGGAGGTCGAGGGAGAGGAGGAGGCGACGACGACAGCGTCGACAACGCCCAAGAAGGGGCTGTCCAAGCTGCAGCAGAAGATGCAGGCCCGTCTGGCCGGCTCGCGCTTCCGCTGGATCAACGAGCAGCTCTACACCACGACCGGTGCCGCACCACTCTCCCCCGCTCTCGCCCTATTTTCCCCTCGGCGCTTCCCAACCAGACCACTCTCACGCGCAGCTTTCTTTCTCTGAAGGCTCTGAGGCCCTGCGACTCGTCAAGAAGGACCCTGGCGTCTTCGAAGAGGTAACTCACCACCGCACGCACCACCGGCACACACGCACAACCGCACACACGCACAACCGCACGCGCGTTCGTTTAATGGGCTGTGTTGCTGTTGAGTGCAGTATCACAGGGGCTTTGCGCGCCAGGTGGAGCTGTGGCCCGAGAATCCCGTCGACATCTTCATCGCGCAGCTCAAGGAGCTGCCCAAGACGCTCACGGTGGCGGACATGGGCTGCGGCGACGCCAAGATCGCGCAGAACGTGGAGCAGAAGGTGCACTCGTTCGACCTGGCGGCGCCCAATAAGTGGGTCACGGCCTGCGACGTCTCGAAGGTGCCCCTGGGTCCCAAGAGCGTGGACGTGGTCATCTTCTGCCTGGCCCTCATGGGCACCAACCTCGTCGATTTCATCAACGAGGCCCACCGCATTCTCAAACCCAAGTACGCCAGCGCGACACGCACCACCGCACACACGCCCCCGCACATGCACACGACACATGACGCGCGTGCGTGCGTTGGACTGACCCGGGCGCGTGGGTGGCTTGGGCACGACCGCAGGGGAAGCCTCAAGATCGCGGAAGTGAAGTCGCGCTTCGAAAACGTGGAGAAGTTCGTGAGCGCTCTCTACGTCCTCGGGTTCGACCTCGTGTCTCAGGTGCGCACCGAGCGATTGCAACCCACCCCCCTCTCTTCTCGCATCGATGGTGGGGCGTGTGACTGACGTGATGTGTTACGTTTTCGTGCGCAGGACGACCACAACAAGATGTTCATTCTGTTCGAGTTCAAGAAGAGCGACCGCCCGACGGCCAAGAAGGCCAACCTGACCCTGAAGCCCTGCATCTACAAGAAGAGATAAACAATGAAAACGAAGAAGAAGAAAGAAGTGGACAACGTTCATTCTTCACCACCGCGATCAAGGGCCGATGGGCGAGTTCGTCATTTCATGAATGAAACAGCGCAAACCTCGTCTCACAGGCCCCAGCTGCGGGCGGCGCTCTGCTTGAGGAGGTCGAGCAGCTTGTCCTCGTCGTCGAGGTCGTCCACCATAGCCTCCACCTCCTCCATTTTGTCTTCGTGTTGCTCGTCTCCTGTTTTCCCTGGACCTTCTTCTGCTTCTTTTGCTGCTGAGGCTGCGCTGCTGGCTTGGCCTCGGCCTCAGCCGTCTTGGGTCGTTCTGTGCGTCAAAGAGCGAAGAGGTGAGGAACCGGCGCGAGCGCACGACATGGTTGGTGCGGGCCATCAAGGGCGTACCGCGTTGCGTGGGGTCGTTCTTGCCCATGTGGGGCTTGAGTATCTCCTTGAGCTTCTCCAGCGCTTCCTGGTACTGCTCCATGTACTTGTTCAACTCCGTTTCATAGTCGATGTTCACTTGATTGATCTGTGACACACGTTGTCCGCCGACGCAACGCACACACACGCACACACACGCACACACACGCACGCACACACGCACACACGCACACACGCACACACGCACACACGCACACACGCACACACGCACACGTTGGTCCATCACTGTGCTTCCCTCCCTCGAGGGGGGCAGCAGTTCGGTCGGGGCCGCAGCGTACCTTGGTGGAGTGCTCGGCCTTCTTGAGCATGGACCTGAAGTGGTGCGCCTCCGACTTCAATAGGAGCGTGTACGTCTTGCCCTGCCGGCCTGCTCGCGCAGTTCGGCCCACTCTGCATTATTGGACCCGAGTTAAAAATTACAAAATTATAACAAAACAAATAATAATAAAACTGAAAATAATAAATTAGTTTAAATTAAATTAAATAGAGTTCAGCAGAGCAGCCGCACCGGTGCACGTAGGTCTTGATGAAGGGCGGCACGTCGTAGTTGATCACGTTTTCCACGTCCTCAATATCCAACCCGCGCGACATAGCATCGGACGCGATCACACTGTGCCATGGTGCCATGGTGCGACAGTAAGAGTCCGCGCGTGCGTATGTGTCGCGCGTGCGGTGTGTGCGTGCGGTGTGTCGTGCGCGTGCGCGTGCGGTGTGTGCGTGTGCGGAAGTGACGTACATCTTGATGTCGCCCTTGGCAAACTTCTCGATGATCTGCGTGCGTTTGCGCTGCGGTAGCGTCGACGAATACTCGGCAACGCCCGTCTGGCCCATCAGCGTCAGCAGCAGGTACAGCCTAGTGCGTGCGCAGGGAAAGAAGGAAAGAAAGAGCAACGCGTCAGACTATACCACGCCAGCGGTCATGATGATACAATGTGCCGCTCACCTGTGTGTGGATTCGACGGACGAGGTGAAACACAGCGTGCGCTTGAAGTCGAACATCTCCAGGAGGTACAGCAACACGAGCGGTTTGTAGGCCAAGCTGCAGATGACCATGTACTCCTATAATAGAGTCGCACACCACCGCACACCACCGCACCGACGTAACAGTTTCAGTGTTGTGTGTGTGTGTGTGGTGTGTATGTGTGTGTGTGTGTGTGTGTGTGTGTGTGTGTGTGTGTGTGTGTGTGTGTGTGTGTGTGT